GCTGGTTTTTATCGACGTTTCATTAAAGACTTCTCTAAAATAACCAAACCCCTAACCGAACTGCTAATGAAAGATGTTGAGTTCATCTTTACTGACAAATGCTTGGACGCATTTACAACACTTAAAAAAGCATTAATACCGGCACCTATTATGCAACCTCCTGATTGGAATGAACCATTTGAGATAATGTGTGATGCTAGTGACTATGCCGTAGGTGCAGTTCCAGGACAAATAAAGGATAAAAAGCTTCATGCAATCTATTATGCAAGTAGAGCCCTAGATCCTGCACAGACGAACAACACAACCATAGAAAAATAAGTATTAGCTATTGTTTTCACTTTGAATAAATTTCTTTCTTACTTAGTAGGAGCACGAATAATTATCTATACAGATCACGCTACAATCAAGTACCTCTTAAGTAAGAAAGACTCCAAACCAATATTACTAAGGTGGATCTTACTTCTGCAAGAGTTTGATTTAGAAATCAAGGACAAGAGAGGCACTAAGAATGTAGTAGCTGACCACCTATCTAGAATAGAAGGCATCAAGTATGATCAAATACCTATTAATGATGATTTTCCTTATGAACGCCTTGTAGTCCAATTGGAATTAGAAAGTGTTACAATTGAATACCCTGTAACTTATGAAGACACAGAGATAAATGAAGTCGTGGAAGTAATCTACACTAAAACCATATTGCCATGGTATACCGATTTTGTCAACTACTTGGCTGCTGGAGTGCTTCCACTGGATATATCTTATCAACAAAGGAAGAAGTTATTTCATGATCTAAAAAAATATTATTGGGATGAGCCTTTTCTTTTCAAGATAGGCGCCGATGGTATTTTCTGTCGATGTGTTCTCGAAGATGAAATAGAAAACATAATTTTCCACTATCAGGCTGCTCCCTATGGAGGCCATGCAAGCACTTCAAAGACCTGCACTAAAATCTTACAAGTTGGCTTTATTGGCCTAATCTATGGAAATATGTCCATATCACGGTTAAAAATTGCGACCAGTGCCAACTCACTGGAAACATCTCTAGAAGAGACGAGATGCCTCAAAAGGGCATTCTAGAAGTTGATGTCTTTGAAGTATGGGGAATTGACTTCATGGGACCCTTACCGTCTTCCTTTGGCAATCACTATATACTCGTTGTTGTCGACTATGTTTAAAAATGGATCAAGGTTGTATCTTCTCCAACAAATGACACACGAGTAGTAACCAGGCTTTTCAAGAATATAGTCTTCCCAAGATTTGGTGTACCGAGACTCGTCATCAGTGACAGTGGCTCCCATTTCATTTCCAAAATTTTCACAAAATTATTAATGAAGTATGGAGTCCGACATCATGTCGCAACACCTTATCATCCACAAACAAGTGGACAAGTAGAGGTCTCCAACAGAGAGATTAAGAAAATCTTGGAAAAAACGGTAGCAACCTCTAGGAAAGATTGGTCGTCTAAGTCTCGCGAAGCTCTATGGGCATATAGGAAAGCCTACAAAACTCCAATCAGAACCACGCCATTTAAGTTAGTTTATGGGAAATCATGTCATCTGCCAGTAGAAATCGAACATAAAGCTTATTGGGCCATTAAGACCCTTAAGTTGAATTACACTACCGTGGGTGAGAAAAGAATCCTAGATATACATGAACTTGAAGAAGTTAGATTAGACGCTTACGAGAATGCCCGAATTTATAAGGAAAGAACTAAAAGTGGCATGATAAATGCATATCTAGGAAAGAATTTAATGAGGGCGATGTAGTACTCCTATTTAACTCTAGACTTAAACTATTTCCGGGAAAACTTCGCTCTAGATGGTCTGGTCCCTTCGATGTCACTAAGGTTTTTCGAAATGGCGCAATAGAATTAAGGGAATGTCTAATGAGCCTTTTATCGTAAACGAACAGCATTTAAAGCATTACCATTGCATTGACAATAAGGTATATTCTACGACATTTAAGCTCGATGAGCTGCCGTCTCACTCATTAGATTAATCTCCTACTATGTCGAGCTTACGACTTAAACAAAGCGCTTGGTGGGAGACAACCCCCCTTTCTAGTCTTTTCTTGTTGATTTACTAATTTTTAGTTTTGTTTTTGTTATTTTCTATTTCTATTTTTATGAAATTATGCAATATTGTTTCTCTACTATTACCCACTACTAACTTAATTCTAACTGTCAACCTAATTCAGGCTAACTTAACTTTAGCTAACTGCACTAACCCACGATGAATCCAATTGACATAATGGGAATTACTTTCAGAAGAAGAAATCAGCGGAGGTGTTTTGAGTCATTAGCTGAAAGGGAGATGGCAGTGAGTATCTACCCAGATCGACCTGCCATGACCACATAGGGATTAAAGACAGTGTTTTATTTCTTTTGAATCAAATAAGCTGGGATACCTCTGCCATAAGAAGAATATTTAGTTCTTACCGTAAGTTAACCCTAGAATTTCTGAGCTCTCTTGTCTATTTTCCTAACCATGGTATAGGGATTAACAAAGGATTGATTAGATTTAGGATGTTTGGTATTGATTACACCTATAACCATAGAGAAATGGCTGAACTTTTAGGATTCCCACATGGCTTTGATACCTTCACCATAATTCAAGAGGAACTCTTTGATGTGAATTAACTTGACTACTTCTGGGGTAGTATTACCGGTATTAGCAACCCTGAACCTAATGACATGTACTCTGAAAATATTCATAACCCCGCCTTCCGATACTTTCATAATACCTTAACGTATACCCTTTTTAGAAAGAAAGAGAACATAACCTCCGTATCAAGAGCCAAACTTTTCATAATGTTCTGTGCATCCCAAAATCGTCCTGTTAATGGTGCTACCTTTATAATAGCCAATTTTCACCGTTTTGCATGAGCTGTCCATGAACTAATCCTAATAGGAGGCCTAGTGACCATGATTGCAAATGCTATCGACTTGAGACAATCATTGCTCAATATTTCCCCTCTAGGTAGATTCTAATCCATGAACATCCAATTCTGTTTCAATAGAGGAATTATTAGGAACCTAGGCCCGACTGCCTTTGAACTTCTCATTAATAATCAGTTAATGCCTCTTTTCACCCTGCCTAACCCTAGGACCAACATTCATGACGAAAACAATTAGTTATATGATTGGGCCGAACCATAAAATTCACCACCAGCTACTCCCGAGACACCCCAAATCTATGACCACCATGATTCCTTCTTATCTGATGTGGAAATCGACCCTGAAACCCCTTCATTTTATCACCATTATCCATCTTCCGATCATGGTAACTCAAGCACCTCTGCTACTCTGATTGCTACACCACCTCCCTCCATTGACCAAGCTACTTTTATCACTTCTCTTAAATCTGAGCTTGATCGTTTGAGAGATGACTTCATTAATTTGCGTATCGAATTTAATTCTTTTATGGACGTAGTGACATAACGGTTGAATCATTTATATCAACACATTTACTCTACTGCTCTTCCAACTAATCAAAGTGGCTAATTTTGTTTCTAACTTACTGCATATATTCTTCTCACATTTAAACATTGAGGAAACTATTTTGTTTAAGTGTGGGGAGAAGACCAATTAGTTTAGGATTTCCATTTTTTTTTCTATTTTTAATTCTTAAGTAGAGTAGATTTTTACTTCTGTCATTTTTTTCTTCATTTATGTCTTGTTTTGTTTTTCCTTCACCTACTGATTGAAATTACTATTATATTTCTTTGCTTTATTATGATGTTTACACATACATTTTGTGCTTTAATATTTTCAATCCACTATATATATATGTACGTACTTAAATTCCTACAAGAATTAGAATATATACGTTTAATTATTGTGAAGTCTGGAAGACAGGATTTCAATTTTTATTTTTCTGTTTTTCACTTCGCGCCGCTCGCCACACAAGCATGAAGACCGTCACACTCCAAACCTTGTCCCTCCCAGCATGGATGAGTTCCCCTTGACAAAGAGTAAAATAAAGCGCTTTCTATGTTTTAACATAGAAACCCTTTTGGTTTCCCTTCTCATTTTCTTCAACTCTCGTTTAACTCCATTAAAAACCTACTGCCCATCCCACTCCCTCCATTATCGATATAATCAAACATCAATATTCCCCACACATTAACCTCTTTATTTTTCTTTACTTATATACTCTCAAAAACCCTCCTCCATCTCAAACCCTCAATTTCTCACGCATTAATCTCTATCAAATCACCGACCATATTCCATCTCTGATTCAACTATGGCACACAGGAACCCAAGGCCAGAACCCGACCATTCAAGGATTACATTCCAAATTGGAGAAGCCGGAGAACATCAAAGAGCCTAATATCTTAAATTTTATCAGCGCCCCATCATCCCTACACGGTATGTTGATATTGAATGTCTTCATAAATTGGGACTGCTTGATAATGTGCGATAGTTAATTAGAAATTATGATCTAGCATACGTCTGCACGCAAAATCTTCCCACATATGAGTCATTAACTTTGGAATTCTTGAGTTCGTTCTCCTACAACCCACCATGCAAAGACTTGCAAAATATAAGTTGTTTTTTTCTCAGTTCAAGAAAATTTTATAAACTCATATTTTAATCAATCAAATCCCTAAGTTTTATATACTCTGTAGCTGGTAGATTCAACGGCGGTGATGGCTTAATGGCTGTGGTGTGACTCAACACTGACGAGAAAGAAGTTCTCCGTCGCTTTCTCAATCTCTTCTGTCCCCGCTCAGTTCTCTTCTCGAATTCCCCCTTTTGTCATAAACCCTAGTTTTTAGAAACTTGATAACCCTTATTCCTCTGTTGATTTGTTGAGAAAATTTGATTCAATTCCAATATCATGTTATAGTTGTATGTTTAATTGTTTAATTATGAATTTTCTTGTTGGGATTTATTATTCAGAATCAGCAATTGATGTTGCTTTTTCTCTTGTTTGCAGTACCCAATTCCAGATTTTTGAATTGAAGCTGTGATTTTGGATTTAACTTTATCATCACCAATGGGTTATAGATGTATTCAATGTGGTTTTCCAATCAAAACACTTTATCTTCAGTATTCTCCGGGTAACATTCGTTTGATGAAATGTGTAAGTATTATCAATTGTATTATTCTTTTCATTTTGTCTTGAATTAATTTTTAAATTGTGAATTGATTTTTAGACATTTTTGTAATGATAGGAGAATTGCAAGGCTGTGGCAGATGAATACATAGAATGTGAAATCACGGTGCGTAGCTCTTTGTTCATGTCACTGGCTTACTTCAAAGATGAAATCTTTTGAAAAGTATTATCATTTTCTCGTTCTGTTTTGTAGATTATTATAATAGATTTAATACTTCACAAACCCAAGGCCTATAGACATCTTCTTTACAATGTCATCAATCAAGAAACCTTGAAGTTTCAGGTATATGAATCTCTCCGTGATTTGTTGTGCACTTTCATACTGTATAATTAATTTTTTGTGTGAGCTTAGTTGTGTTCATGTATATTTTAGTGAATGACAAAAGTGATTTTTTTACAATTTTGAATATTGCACAATCCCCTTGATTTCATTTTTTTGAAAGAAATGGCAATTTCATTCAGCATCACTGCTGTTATCCGCATTTGTTGTTTGTTATCACATAGTAAAAGGCAATAGCTATTAAAATTAGCTTGTAAGATGAGAAGTGAGAACTTTCAAGTCAAAGCACTGCTTATTTGTATGCGATATGGTATCATACACATCTTCTGACATCCAACAGAATGAAGGTGCTGGAGGCTGCAACAAAAGTAACTCATAGTTACCAGATGCAGTTAAGGTAAACAAGGGTGACACAATTAAGACAACTTTCCAACTGAAAACGTGAAGCCTTAGATTTTGAACTAGGATAAATAAAATATCCAATAAGTTAGGTAGTTAGTTTTAAGGAATCCTAAAAGTGTTAAAAGGCACGATACTCTTTTAAATTAAAGACACTACAATATTGTTTCAAATGAATTTAGTGTGATTGAAGTATTATATGATTATTTATCATTTTGTTCTTTCATTTTTTTTAAATATCAAATATATTTTAAAAGATAGACTTAGCCCTCCCCTCCCAAACCCTTCAAAATCCAACTCCCAAACATACCCTAAAAGTTTTAAGATACTAAATGTAATATGAAAAATGTTTCGTCAATATTTGTTTAATATAGAAAACAAAATAGACATATTGCAACAGATCCTTGTACTTTTGCCCTATCTATGTGCACGAGGCACTTGTTTTTTCTTATAGTCAAGTTGAACTTTCTTGAAAAATATGCATGTTTCTTAGTTAGAGTATCCATTTTCTAAATAAATATTCACAAAACAATCATCTTAATAGCACCTTACTTGCTAAAGTATTTAACAAAATGCATGCATAGGGTTTAGAATAATGAGATCCTATTTATCTACTGATCATTTTGTAGTGGTCTTATCGTTCACCTTTTTCAATACTCACAAGTGCTTCTTTTTAATAATTTTGCAGGGACTGCTTTGGAAATTGGCTGCCATTTTTCTTCTTTTTGATGCATGTATCCATTCTTATCATCTTATCATATGGAATTTTATTATATTTTAATGCCTTAAGGCTTAAATTCTAGCTGTTGTTTTTCAAAACCAAATATGAGGACCTTACAATTTGTTGAAGACAGATATTTGATTTTGGAAAGCAGCAAAAGTAAATCGAGTTCATCAATGAGCTACTCCTCACTAGTGTCAATGTGTTGCAAGGTTAAGTTAACTGAACATTGAAATAACTTTTTCCTCAATTACTTGGTTCTGAATTTTATGCTAACTTTGATTAATGTTTTATGGTTTTCATTAGCAGATGATGATGGATGTGTTCTTTGGAAACTTTATCTTTCTTTTAACCTTCTTCTTTATGGTCAAGATATTTCTTCATATATCTCTCAGTGTCTCCAGGTTATACCTCTGATATATTTTTTGTCTCGCCATACTCGTAATAAAGAAAGGAACATTTAGTTTGCATACTCCCCATTTAACTTGGTAGAAAAAATGTTTGTTATTTTAGCATTTTAAAAAATATCAATAACACTGGCCATCATTATGAATATATCAAAACTGAATTGATGAGAACCTTCATTTTTTGTTTTGTTTTAATTTTATTTAAGTAAAGAACATGATATGTGGAGAGTTACTTCTCAACTCCCAAGTCTTGTGTATTACAAAAACTTGAGTTATGGAAACCATCAAAGCTTACTTTGAATTTAATTGAAAAGTAATAAAAATTAAAAGCAGTATAAGGTTCACCAAACAAAATTCAATAAAACTCATAACTTCATACCAAATTCCATATAGCAGAGCATAGAGAAATGTAGAACAAAAAATAAACTCTAACCGTAAAGGCTCTCTAGTTGAAAGAGTATCCATGAGATTGCTTCAACAACACACGAGGATATGAACATGAAATTCTAAGATAGAAGATTATACTAAAACTCACAAAAGTGGTGTCCAGTTCCTGTTTTGCTCATTTTTTGCAATTTCTCACATTATCGTTCTAATTTGTCTTTGATTCTTCATTACAGTTGAGGTTCTAGATGTTAGTTTTCCTATGACACTTTTCTCTTCCATTTTGGAAGGCTACAACTCTAGATATTGCCAAAATACTAAGCAAAAGTCACAGTGTTGGAACAACATCCAATTTTCAACTTGTAGTAGAAATTTCAACGTTGTCGAGATTGATTCAGGTTTTATAATAAGTTGTAGGTCTTTCTTCTCGCTTTCCAGTAAGACCTAGAGCATCTAGTTTGGGTGAGCGTTGCTTGAGATATGTTTCTGAAATACTTATACACCAGTGCTAAGAACCTTGATAATATTTAGTTTAATATGAGACTTTGATTCTTCTCCTTCTTTAAACTTTATGCTCAAGTCAAAACACCTATTTATCTTTGCAATATGTCTTTTTTTTTTTGCATTAATATATCAAATGCTAGGATGCATGGGTACGGTACAGAGTATAAAAGAGTTTAGCATGAGAATTAAATTGTTTATTGTTTAATTACAACAAAAACATGTGTGTTTGGTTATACCAACATAAAACTCAAATACACAATAATATTATATTTATTATATTAAATATTAATATATATGAAAAAATCACATATTTCACTAGCAACAAAATGATGTACTTGACAAGTATTTTATGCGTATCGATACAGGGTGTGTACCCAGTATGGGTACTTCCTTGTTTTACAAGTATCCATGCTTCAGACCACAAATGAATGCAACCATGTTTCCCAATGAAAAGGAAAAATGATGGTTTATCGTGAATTAATTGGTCTGCAGCAATGTAGAAGTCTGAGTTGGTTCATACACTAACATTTATTCTTGATAAAAAAAGTTGCTTCTTTCACTTTTATTGTTGAGTATTTTCTGTGTCTATCTATGATGTGCTGTTAAATGAACAACAACTTTTTAATGTTCCCAGTATCTTTCTTGTAGGTATGGGAATTTCCATCTTCTGTTATGTTCATCATTGAATTATTTTGCTTATCATCTAATGCAGTAGCATTGAAAGGTTAGTAAGTTATCCTTTAATTTTTGTATATTCACCCCCTGCTTTCGTACAAGCCAATTGTCTAGGCACATTTTTGCATTCTGGTTGAAAGTTTTGTCTAGGATTGGTGGTTGTAATTTAATTATTGTTCAATACTGATGAACATTTCTTATCAACTAGTGATGACGGAGTCAAGTATGAGTCAATGTGTATGGACCTGCTTCAGTGCATATGCTATCAAGTTTTTTTTCATCCAGGCACATGAACTTATGTTGTTATGGAAATTTATGCAAGGTTGGAATCAAATCCCATTCACATTGTCTTTAAAGTCGACATTTATTTAATTTTAGTTTGTTTCTTTTAGTAGCAGAATTGTACGGCAAATGAATATTGTGTTAGTGAACGGTATCATTCACTCTTTTTCTTAAATTTGTATTAATTTTTATTAGCTGGTTCCTTATTTAATGTTTATGATGTGTATGCTGCGAGCATGAGAATGCTTTAAGGTGAACCATCATAGATTTGGATGATTGAGATTCATAACTTACCCAGATCAATGTTGATTACCATTATATATATTTTTGCACATCCATATCCAAATTAAAAACTAGATTAGTATTTCTTTTTAAAATAAAAGAATTCTTAAATAATTTTTTTAAATTTCTCTCGCACTGATCACCATCATTATTTTATTTCACTCTTTATCACTTTCTCTATTTTCTGTACTCTACTTCTTCAAATTTTGTTTAGCTTTTTTTAATGTTGCTGCTAAATTTATTCTTGTTTTTAGTATTGTGATTTTCTTAGATCTAAAGCCACAAATGTAGTGTTTATTTAAATATAATTTTCCTTAGTTCATATAATAGAGAATGAAAGATATTGTACTATCTAGTACTGTTTTTGCATTGTAGTGAAATCAATTTCTCCCAACAGGAAACATAGTTGTTTAAAACTGCTACACACATACACTAAAATATATAAAATCATTCTGAATGCATTATTATTGTTCTCAACAAATTAAAAAGCATGCATAGCCTCCTTTATTTGTGACCTCAGCTTCCACTCTTTCATGTACATACGTATGATCTTGGATTTTGTGCGATGAGATAGATTGTATAACAAATAAAAAGAGAATGAGTATAAAAATCAAAGGTGAATATAGAAATTGATCAAATCAATATTTAAAAATTGAATTTTTGTATTCAAAATTGATTATTTAACCAAAAATCAGTTGAAAAAGAATTAATATCCAATTCTAAAAACTAAATTTGTATGTCTAAAACTGGTTTCACATTAAAAATTGGTTATAAACTTTAAAACCGGTTAAGAAATCTGTAACTGATTATAAAATTTGATTATGGATATAGTTTGTAAGAATATAACAATTGGTTATGATAAATAGTTATAGATTAGATATGGATTGGTTATTATAAATAATCTATAAAAGGGTTGTTATTGGCAGAGTTGCATGTAGTTGTTGATTTCTAGATAGAAATGTATTTGAACCCAAACTATAAAAGGGTTGTTATTGGCAGAGTTGCATGTAGTTGTTGATTTGTAGATAGAAATGTATTTGAAATAAAGTTAAATATAGTCTTGACTTGACTTAATTTCATAGGACATGCTATGGCCTAACAATATTGCATAAATAAAGTTAAATTAAGTCATATACTCTTGAGTAGGTTTGACTTCATAGGACATGATGGCCTAACAACACAAGATTGCATCAATTTCTTAGTTTTTTGTTTTCTTCTTTGAAGTTGTTGGGGGTACTTCAATTAAAAATGCTAGTTGAATTAGATGGATGCAAGCTATTGATCTAGGGTTCAATTCTTGACAACAAAATTTCTTTGTATTTTTTTCACTTGTAAACAAGTTGTTGATATTTATAAATCAATAATTTAAAAAATATTCTTCCAACTTTTTTATAAAGATGTAGATGTGGTTTCACCGAACTAGGTTATTAATTTTTGTGTTATTTATCGTTTTTCAGCTTCATCAACTTATACAACTTATTCTATTATAATTGTGTTGGTTTTGATTTATCTTGTCGAACATATTGTCGGAGCATCATGTTTGACATATGTCCTCTGAGAAATAAAATTTAAAAAAAAATCTTCCTAAAGAGATATATGATGTCTTTCTGAGAGACTCTAGGTTACACCGGGGGTGTTACCCCTTTTGGTGTAATGACAAAGAAATAACTAATGTGGTCCATATAACACACTTGTTTATGGAAGCTGGATCATAACAGCAGGATAAGAAATATATTTTTGATAAGTAAGATAAAAATATATCTTGTTTTGAGTACTGTTCTATGACCCCTTATATAACATATATGTGAAAAGATTGCAACAAATAAAAAAGTCATCAGGACAATCCACTATTCCTTTGTCGTTACCAATATGGTGGCCCAGGGTGTGCCTATTCTAGCACAGGTGGAAGTTTAAGATTCATCTGACCGTGTCGTGGTGGAAGATGCTTCAAAAACCTCACAGCCTAACGATGAAAGAGACTTGGGGCATAGTCTCGATCTTGAGGAACTTTGAGTAGACATACTGTTTATTAAGCCTCATTGGTTGAGGTCTATTGAGGAACATGTGTCGGCTCCAACTGAGTTATCTTTTGCACTTCTAGTTTGCCCTAGTCCAAGAACGCCTATGAATTTCTATTTTTCCATTTTTAAAGAAGATTATTCTTATTTTTCAAACAAGTCTAAAGAATCTCACTATGAAGAGTTATAAGATTTTGACGTACTACATCTGTCGGGCATTATTGTTATGTCCTTTGGAGCTGTCGAGCAATAATAAGTCTTCCTTCTTGAACTTTTTTAGAAGGAGAAAGAGACACTTAAGAAATGTTATAATATCCTTACCATCGAGCAAAATCATTGTTAGGAGAGGCTCGAGAAGTGTTTACCTCATTTTTAGGCGTATAAGTTATCGTTGAGTCTTTCAGATCTCTCAACACTAGTTGAGAAGATGATGTTGTTTGCTCATGAAGTGATAGAGAAGAATGATGTCTTAGTTTTCACTTGAGAATCGTTATCTAGGGCAGATGTTGCTCTATATGAAGCAAATAGGTCCCTTGAGTTTGCGCGAAAAAAGATATAAGAGCTTGTGATGTCTTTAAATGAGTCTTAAGAAGGTCGAAAAAAGGCTGAAGATGGTCTTTATGAGATGCGTCTTAAGAATCTTGCCTTGTCGAAAGAGTAAGTGAAGTCATTGGAAGAGAGTTATTTTATTACGCAAGACTCTTTTGAAAGTGCTTTACACTAGGTTGGATATTTTTATCCCACTAGGCCTATCTCTCGAGCGCGAGTCTTTCTTGACCAAGAGATGGAAGACTAGAAGCTAGTTCCATTGATGGATTATCCATATACACGTTTGTATTTTTTTCTATGGAGTGTATCTGCCCGATATATATGTATCCAATGAATGATTAATCTTTATGGTTCCTACCTGACATTGTATATTTCTGTCTTTGTTACTTACTGTTGATTTAACCTATTTATGTGGTATTGCTTTCAGTCCTAAGTTCATTTCTACTATATTTTAAGATCGTGCTCAAAGTTTTGTTAGATGTCTCAGGTGTTCGTGCCTAACCAAGAGTCGATACCTCTTACATGCCCCCAGGTGAAAACTTGATTCGAGGTCTGCGTATTGTGGACTGCCTCTTAAGTGGTTAGGTGCCAAAAAGGAGTGAGCCTACATTTATCACTTGGTTCAATACATTGACATTGTAAGGGGATTGTTTTAGTCAAATGTCGGGGGTATTTGTGACATCACCCCCGAGTCTTTTGTGATGAAGCTTTAACTGCTTTGACCGTACGCTTATGATCTTTGTAATAGTGTCCCTGACTCGTCGTTGCCTTTAAATTCACAAGGAAAAGAGAATTTAGTGGAAACTTATTTATTTATTTAAAGAATAACATCGTACATCGTACAAATGTATTATTTTATGCCACTCCATTTTAGTAGGGGTGTTCAAATTCAAACTGATCGTAAACTATTTAAAAAAAATATAAAAACCGCAAAAAATAAATATTATTGAATGTGTTTGGATGTCATTTTGTAAAAACCGTTCGGATCAGATGAAATTTTAAATTGATATTTTAAAATCGATTCAAACCGAATCGAACTACATGTATATATTTTAATGCTTATTTTTTTAAAGTATAAACTAGAGTATCCTATGCGCGTTACTACAAAGACTAATCTCTTGAGTCTTATGAGACTATATAGATGATCTAACTTTCTCTCAAAAGATTTAACATTCTAAGGACATAACAACATAACAAGTAGTCATTTAAATCGGATTAAATTCAAAATACGAATCGGAAATAAATTTATCTTATTTTTATATCTATTGATTTTTTATTTTATTAAAACCTATGTAGACCGCATCACGAATCCTTACATAGAAGTAGTCATTTACATCCGAACAAGGTAGAAAATCTTCTTTCGTTTTTTCTCTACATTTGGTACACTTCAAACTGCCACTTCACGATTTTCTGAACTCTTCATCAGTACTCAATAGTACATTTCATTTTACACGTTCTCCAAACTGCCACAAAAGACAAAGAAACCCTACAATCATCTCTCACTCTTCCCTACTAATCGCGCCGCTCAAAAACACCGCCGTAGAGGACCTAACACCGCCTCGTACCGCTCTCCGTCGCTTACTCAATCTCTTCTGTCCCCGGTCAGTTCTCTTCATTATCTCTCTTCTCGCTAGTCTTGACATTTAGATCCTAATGTTTTTCTTTCAATCTATGAACTTGATATGCAGTTTAGCTACTGTATAGTTGTGTTAGTGGCTTATGAGGTTATCAATTTTGTTGTTCTACATCAAATTCGAGTTCCTTCTCTCTTTGTCATAAACCCTAGTTTTAGAAATTTTGGTGAACCTTGAAATTGATTATTAGAATATCTGATTGGAAGGGTGTATGTGTAATTAACACATTCTGTTTCACACTGGACTGTTCATTTTGCCTATCCATATCGGATCTTCATCAAGTTTCATTTTCCTATTTTTTCTTAAAACCACAATTTCTATTTCATTCTAAGTCCAACTTGAACTCTTTTACTGAATTTTAAATATCAAATTTAATTTTCAAGTATTGAATAATTCTTTTGTGCCTCTAGATTCCATTATGAAAGCAATTTACTGTTAGTTAATTTATTTAGTAATTTTAGATAAAATAGGACTTTGAAATGAAGCTACTATTTGTATACTATGTTTTTTAAATTGAGTAAGCAACTTGGATTTAGGAGGTGATTAAGATTGTGGATCTTGATTTATTTGGAGGTATATTAATCAGAAAATATAGTAGTTTTCATTATATGTTAGTATTTATGCCATATAGTTTATTCATTTTACCCCCCCAGTTTTAAAATGAATGACTGTTGTTTAAGTTTTTTGTACACAGATCAAAGAGTACAATAATATTGTCATAAGACATTGCACTTTTATTAAATTAACCTTATACGTGTTGGAAGTAGTGTACAGAATAATAATTAAAGGTCACAATTCGAAAAATAATAATCATTTTTATATTGTAAAGTGAGAATGACATTCATATTGAAACAAATATTTTTTCTTAAAACGATAGTCATTGTGAAACGGAGGGAGTAATTATTAGTTGGTTGCTCCACTGCTTGTTGTTTGTACCCTCTGCTTGTTGCTTGTACCCTTTGCTTGTTGCTTGCTTATATTTCGAATGTAAGGAATTTTTGTGCTGGAAAGTAAACTTTACCGTGGTTGTCTATTAGGTTCAAAGTCATACTGAGACATTATGGAGAGCCAAATTCTTAGTCAAAGGTTGTAACGTCTAACATGTGGCCTCGACTACAATATTTATGACGGTCCATATATATAATAAGTTTTATGATTAATTTGTCATATATTGTTGTTTCATCCAACAATCATTAACACAACAACAGCCAAGCCTTACCCTACTAAGTAAGATCGGTTGTATGCAAGGTTGTCAGAATCGAGAGTTTACTTTGAATCGAAAGAGGATAGTAAGATCGAAAAATCGTAAATCGCAACCAAAATCGGTGGATTCTACTCAAATCGTTTTGTTGAATCGAAAGGGGAAATCAAGATCGCATAATCGAAAATCGCAACCAAAATCGATGGATTCAACTCATAATAGTACTCAAAAGTTTAAAATCATAAAACAAACATAAAACAACCAAGTGTCAAATCTTAAATATAAAACAAAATACTTAAAGTCTAGATGCTAAATTAGATCACTAATGCGCGATCTACTTGGATCATCTCCCATAATGTCAATATTGTCATCTTAATTAATCTCATCATCATCACCACCCCTACCACCACCACCATTATCATCACCTCTTGCACCATTCCCATCATCAAGGTTGAAACAGAGTAATGTTTACAGATTGTTGAAACCAAAGATGAAGGCAAAGTCGAAAACAAAGCAGCAATCGCAAGAGTCAAGTAGACAAGGTTGAAGACTTGAAGGATAAAGAAACACGATTGATGTAGAAGCGCAAACGTCAAATGAATATCGATAAAATAGGGTATTCCCCCTTTTTAAATAAAAAGGGTTAGAACCAGGTCACAAAACTGAAACAGGCCGTCTTTACCCATTTTAAAATTACCCAAAAAAAAAAGCCCAAAATCAGTGGAATCCATATGAGATCGCGCTGCGATTTAGCGATTTTATTGGGATTTTGCTCTAATTTAGGATTCTACTCGCAATTCAAATCGTTTAGGGTGAGCCAAATCACAAAATCCATGGATTTCACGATTCTGATCGCGATTCTGACAACAATTGGTTGTATGGATCAACTCCATAATGTTCTATCCCCAAGGTTCATTGACACATGATATAATATAATTATGATATCATGTCTTTTATCCAAACCAGAGTAGTCATTCTCAGATAGTGGCACGGAGCGGCCGACCCCAAAAGTGGGATAGCAGGATATCATATAATGGGATTGTCACTCTATTTGATCATTTTTTGGTCAAATTACATATAATAATTATAAACATATATTTAATGTAAAATTAAACAAATAACACAACTCGTAAAATATTCATAAATCAAAGTTCACGTGACTCTTGTCGAGACCGAACTCAAATTTGATTGAAAACCCCAAAATTATCCTTAACACATTGAAAATTTAAGGGGTAATTTCGGTTTTTAAGGGGGAAAAAGGATAGCGGGCCAGAAATCCGTAACACGTTGAAAATTTAAGGGGTAATTTCAGTTTTTAAGGAGAAAAAGGATTAACTAAAATTTATTTGTTATAAAAATCAAACTAGTACTTTCACTCTATGCGATGCATGAACAAATTATGAATGAATATTGTATGTGAAAAAAAAATTAGGATTTTTGTTGATTGAATAGTTGAAGTACATAGAAATTAGTGGTGGAGTAATGAACTAGAGTAATTAACATTAAATGTTAATTAATTAATATATTAAATAACATTTGTTGAAAAGAGAAAAGAAAATAATGTGATTAAAAACTGTTTAGGCGGGATTTTACTCAAAATTTTTGAGATATTAAATATATAAATTTCTATTAAAAATGTTACTATTATTTTAAATCTTTAAAAAGTATTTTTTTACACAATCGTTAGTATTTAAATTTTATTTATCAGATGACAAATTAAGCGATTACATAAGGGACAATAAGGTCCCTGTTCCCTTTGTTAGTTTAACTCATTATGTGTTGAAATCGCGATGAGCTAAATTTCCACCCATAACCTACATAGAATATTCACCCAAGACGGCTACATCAGAGAGAAGAGATAGACCGGTTTTAATCTGTGTAACAGATAGAGAACGAGTTCAAATTGAAACCATAAAGAAAGAGGGGTCATTTCATTTGTGACCGCAAATAAGAGTGGAAGGGTTTACACATATCTAAGTAAGCATGTTTCTTCTGTTCTCTTCTTCTCTCATAGTTTCAAATCTGTGAACTCACTATTTCCCCATTTCACTTTCTACCCTAAATCTGTTTGACTAAATGCCGTCTGAGCATGGTTCATTCATATTCTTCCTTTATCATCATAATTGATTTTAGGGCTTCTACATTAGGTACTTCAATTGATTTACTTTCCCTTAATTTCTTATGCATAAATAAATTTACTTTCTTAATCATCCATTCTGTTTAAATCATTGCAGTTTTTGCTTTCATGATCTTACACTTTTAAATATTTATCTTTTCCATCTCTTTTTGCTTGTGTATAATGGCATTATGGTTCTTTTTTAAATGCTGATGTTTCACTATATAACATTTATTGTTTTGAAAATATCTGTATCGGATGAAACACTAAAATGAGAAATTTATTTACTGTTGCAGCTTCTTTACTGGGTTGATTAACTGCTGCATTGTTTGGGCTAGAAATCATGAATAACAGCATTGCTGGGAGACCACTTAATGAAGATGATGAGGAAGATGAAGTTAATGAGGATGGACTTGAAGCATGGGAGAGAGCTTATACAGAAGATAGATCATGGGAGTCTTTGCAGGAGGATGAATCTGGACTTCTTCGTTCTATTGATACTTCAGCCGTTCAACATGCTCAGTATCGTAGGCGCCTTCGCGCCCTTGCTGCAAATGCAGCTACTGCACGGATTCAAAAGGGTTTGATACGATACTTATACATTGTTGTCGACCTGTCCAAGGTATTGTTTTTATTACTTCACAGTTTCTGTGTTTGTCTTTAAGTTTCTCATGGACGATTGCTTTGATTACTTGAAAATTGGGGTACAATTGGAGGAGGGGTATGTTGGTATAATTCACGAATTAGTGACACAGTTAAATTTACTAGGTTTTCTTCCAATATCTTATCTGAAATTTATTTTACATATGCTTTTTGAATTTTTTAAAATATTTTTTCTCTATAAGTACATCTATACTTGTTCAATAAGCTAGCACTTAACAGCTGAAATTCAAAACTATACTCGCAGGCACATCATAGGCACACTGATGTATCGAGCGAAGCAGTTCTTATGCTGAAATTATATTATAATTTTTTTTTATGATTATACTGTTAAAGTTTAGAAGTATCTTATGCAATATTAATATTAATATATTATATTAATCTTATACATGTATGTTTTTTCAATTTCTTGCCATGTAATATAACTGTATCTTACATCATGTGAAGGCAGCTTCAGAGAGGGACTTTCGACCTAGTAGAATGGCTGTGATTGCAAAGCAGGTTGAGACTTTTATCAGGGAGTTCTTTGATCAGAATCCACTTAGTCATGTTGGTTTGGTGACTACCAAAGATGGGGTTGCTAGCTGCTTGACAGATCTTGGTGGCAGTCCTGAGTCCCACATCAAAGCTTTAATGGGTAAACTAGAATGCTCAGGTGATGCCTCCCTACAAAATGCACTAGATCTTGTGCATAGCAATCTAAATCAAATCCCATCATATGGCCATCGAGAAGTTCTGATTTTATATTCGGCCCTCAGCACCTGTGATCCCAGTGATATCATGGAAACTATCCAGAAATGCAAAAAGGGAAAAATGAGGTGCTCTGTCATTGGTCTTGCTGCTGAAATGTTTATATGCAAGCATCTTTGCCAAGAAACTGGAGGAACGTACTCCATTGCACTGGATGAGGTTAGTTTGTTGGTTTTGATTGAACCATGTAGCTGCTGTACAAATACAAATTAATGCTCCTCTTTGAAAATTATTTGAGTTTTTATAATCCAACCATTTTCTGATTAAGTGCTAAGAATATTGCAGATCACCTTAGAACGTGTTTGCATTTTTCAAATGTTTGTGCATTCTCTTATCCATGTACACATCTCATGCAGTCCCACTTTAAAGAGTTAATTCTAGAGCATTGTCCACCACCTCCAGCAATAGCAGAATATGCTACTGCTAATTTGATTAAGATGGGTTTCCCACAAAGAGCGGCTGAGGGCTCTGTTGCAATTTGTACATGTCATGAAGAGGCTAAGACAGAAGGGGGATACACTTGTCCAAGATGCAAAGTGCGTGTTTGTGAGCTTCCTACCGAATGCCGCATCTGTGGATTGACCCTTATTTCTTCACCTCATTTGGCAAGGTCATATCACCATCTCTTCCCTATAGTGCCGTTTGTGGAGATCTCTGCATCATTTCAAAATGATCCAAGCCACAGGTTTCCCAACACTTGTTTTGGTTGTGAAGAAAGTCTCCTTAGTCAGGGTAAGCATCTGCAGACCAGTTGTTGTTTGAGTATCTTCATAAGTTCATATATTTACAACTTTTGCTATATAAAATTTTATGGTGTTGCCTAATATGCTATGTCAAATATAGACTCATATCAAACTTCTTTAAGGGTGAATAGTTTGAAGATAACAAATGGGGCTATAATTTTTTAAGTTATTCCCTGGAATTTTTTTAAATATTATATTGAAATTAGTAAGTTGTTAGTGGGAGTAGTTTCATTTGTCTTTTTGTACATCTTGGTTTCTTATTAGATTTTGTGCTATCATGACCTGGCCTCACTGTTGTCGATGGTGGATGGCGGTCCATTGTGGAGAGCCAAAATCCCGCCGTACTGGCTGCTTTGCTCCGCCGTCATAGCGGATCATGGCGGAAAAACCTGTAATATCAGCCAATATTACATTGCGTCAAGCCCAAAAACCGTCATTGGTATCCGCCATAGCGCCAACATTGCTGATATTCGATAACACTGCCTGGCCACTGAAAGAGATTAGCAACATTCCAATTGAGAGATGGACTGTCTTTCAATTTACAAAGGCGCATATACAGTCTTTTGATAAACTCTCTTATTCCCTGTTAATAATCACCTTGGGTAGCATATCATGAGTCATCTGTGAAAGAGTCTGTTGCTCAATTTTTTTTGAATGGCAATCCAAAAGTCCAACTGTTTGGTCTTCCATATGCTCATGATATAGTGGTCTTAATGCTAATTCCTTGCTATAACAAAATTCTAGTATCTTACAAGGACATTGAATTCTATCAACCATGATATCACGTGCATGTGATAGGGAATAATTTATGCGAGACATAAAAGCCTCAGCTTTCTTGTCAGTATGATGATGCATCTATGGCTTTCAAAGCCACGGTTGGTAAAGTTGCAAATTTGGAAGAAAAATTAACCACAGCTTCTTAAATTAACATGTGATCAGCGATACATTCTAATAACAATGTGTATGCATTAAGCATGTTAATCACACTTTGCTAATAATTGAGTACCGTGAGTATATGGCAGTCGAGTCTTTTTGTTAAGAAAACAATGTATATGCTTTATGTCATTAGTGTTTTTTTCTACATAAGGCCATTGCTGAGAATCTTCAGCTGTATAGTTGATGATATACAATTCCTTATGTTTTTGTTGTATTAGAAATAGTATTGCGTATAGAATATGTTCTTGCCAATTTTGCTAATAGTATTGTGTATAACAGGAAACAAGCCTGAACTTTCTGTCTATTGTCCAAAATGCAAACAACAATTCTGCTTTGATTGTGACATCTACATTCATGAGAGCTTACATAACTGCCCAGGCTGTGAGAGTTTCAGGCATTCTAAGTCAATTACTACTGCCCAATGATTGCCAATCCTCTGCTCTTGACATTTAACTGCCATCTAAATGATATTATATACTGCATCCCTGTTATTGTGATGTTGCATCCATTTACCGGACTCTTGAACAGGTTCTGGTCCATGGAAAGTGACCGGCTAACACCATCCATTCACCTGATCAAAATGCAAGCTCCTTAGACAGTAATTGCTTTGCAGGCCGGGAAACAGAAGTGATATTTTATATACAAGGGTGAGATTTTTCCTTCTCACATTTTATACCATAACAAATTCTTATCCTTTTCCTTCTTTTGTTCTTTGCTGAAAATTAAAGCACATGTAAGAATATACTTTGTTTCATACATTCCAGCATGGATATCACCCTTGCCAGTTTTTAATCAATGGGTTGACACTAGCCATTCTTGCTAGCGGAATATTTCTATCATTAAATTTTCATTGCTAAATATGTGTAAAAGTTACATGCCTTTTGCTTTTACAATTAATGCTGCGAACTTCCAACTTCAGCTGACATGTTTCATAGCACAAGATGGTCATTGAAAATTTGGTCTGTGAAATCCTTTAATGTAAAATACTTACGGTGCACATTTGATATTCGAAGAAAGTTACATTGTTATTTGATAACCTTCTGACCGTCCATATTTCATTGTGAAAATATGAGCATACATAAATTCGTGTCATCCAATTAGTGTACTATCTAAAACTATTTAAGAATTTCTCAAGGATAAGTTGAATGATGTCTATCTTCATAGTTGATTATGAGTGACCTGAGGTGCAATTTTGTTTCCTGTTTTCTCTTATGTTTTTTGGCCATGAGTTTGAAAAACTTTATTTGGAAAAGAAGACAGTTTTCCATTCAACAAAACCTAAATGTAGATCATCGTTTTGGATGTTTGAAACTGAGTTAAAAAACATCAACAGCACGATGGGATCAGTGTTATTGCTAAGATGTGCTGCTAGGGTATCGTATTGGTTTATTTAATTTCATAAATAAAGTTTTGCTGAGTTGGATATCTGAGATTCATCAGGGTCATCAGGGAAAATTTCATGGCTCAGAAAACCTTGATAATAAGGGCAGTTAATTAATTCGGCTTATAAAAACACGAAACATGGATAAATCATGTGTTGATATTAAGGGTATTCGTGGGCCGGTTTGATTCGGTTTTGAAAGAATCAAATACGTGAATCAATGAAAGAAAAATGGATTGGTTTGAACTAAACTTTTATATTTTTGTAATAAAGTCAAAATCAAACTGATTCGAAAAACAACGGATTTGTTTGGATTGAATTGACTGGGTATATTAAAAATATTCAAAAATATTTTTTTAAAATTATTTTTTTACCCACTAAATTATAAAAATTAAATATTAAACACATGTCCACATATCTTTAAACAAGTTATTATCACCACCATGGTCATATAATAGTTGTATTTTACTTAATATTTAATAATATTTATCATGTATGGTATCATTGATTGATATGTATTTTACTTAATATTTAATAGTATCTGTCATGTATGATATCATAGACTGATATGATTGATATGTATTTTACTTAATATTTAATAGTATCTGTCATGTATGATATCATAGACTGATATGATTGGTTATGATAATTTGAATGATATTGTATCATTATATTTTTCATCGAAAATGTCGAAAGACAATTGTTACTGTTGGTAATTGATAATTGTTAGGACTCTTGATTTATTTTATTGCTGTTGGTATTTGGTAATTGTTATAACAATTATTCTCTTTATTTAAATAAATAAATAGTAACTCAATTAAAATTAATAATTTAATATTTAATTAATTATGTTGATTTTTATTGGTTTGGTTCAGGTTTACGAGTAGTAAATTAGAAATCTAATATCCGAACCAATTAACATTGATTTTTATTGATTTGGTTCGATTTTTGTCTGAACTGAAAAAATGCTCAACCCAAACATATTGGTTTGGTTTGGATTTTGATTTGGTTCGGATTTGTCCAAACCACTAAACATTCCTAGTTGATACTTCTATATGTTAGCAATCATTTATTGGAGATTCACGTAGTTCAAATTCTTTCCTAGAAATATGACTATTAAGACAATTTTTCGTGCTTGTTCTCATAAGCCTAGGATGACTAAGTCAGATCCATATTGTTGATATTTGTAAAATATATAGTGTTAAGAATATTTGTATGTATAGTAGTCTCACACCGATTATATCATGTAATTAGTTGTAATCTCTCTCTATACAATAAAGTCTCGGTAGTACTTTCAAAACACACATTTTAACGTAAATGTCTCTTAGTCTCTCCTAATTCAACATGATATCAGAGCCTCATCTAAGATTCATTGTGTCACCCACCATTTAGTTCCACGCTTTCAACCCCAATTCCTGGGCGTGAGAGGGGGGTGCTAAGAGTCTCACATCGGATAATATATGGTCTGAACATGGGTTTATAAGTGAGAGTAATCCTCACCTTACAAGTCAGTTTTGTTGGGATGAGTTAGACCCAACCCACACATTCTGATCATGTTACTGATAATAATTTTTTCTTTCTCTTCCCTCTCTACCTCTGATTTCTTACCTACTATAACTTCTGCCAATGATTCTCAAACCCGATCCAAAGGAATTGGTACTATTTAAATTCTACCCTCTCTCTTTGTTACTTCTGTATTCTATGTACCTAATTGTTCATTTAATTTACTTTCAATCAGTCGTTTAACTCATTCTCTTGATTGTATTGTCACCTTCACTAATAGTAATGTCACTTTGCAGGCTCGGAGTTTGGGACAAACAATTGACGTCATATGTGAGTCTCAAGGGCCTTTATTACCTCTTAGTGTCATCTAAGACATGCTCATCAAAATATTCTCCACTCACAATTCATGCTCAGTTAGGTCATCGTAGTCTTCTCAAATTATACAAGTTGGTGCCAAGTTTATCGAAAGTATTTAATTTACATTGTGAGTCGTGTAGGGAAACACACTCGTAGTCATTTTCCCAATCGAGTCAATAAACGAGCTTCATCCCCTTTTGCTTTAGTTTACTCTGATGTTTGGGGTCCCTCACGTACTATTTCTACTCTTGAGTCCAGGTATTTGTCCTTTTTATTGATGATTTTTCACGTTGCACGTGGTTATATTTAATGAAAAATAGATCAGAATTATTTTCTATTTTTGAAATTTTTTATAAAGAAATAAAAACTCAGTTTGGTGTGTCTATTCGTACCTTAAGACGTGATAATGCTCGTGAGTATTTATCCCAACAATTTCAAATTTTTTATGTTCAGTAATGGTATTCCCCACTAAGCATCTTGCCCTTATACACCTCAATAAAACGGAGTAGCCGAACACAAAAATCCGTATCTTGTAGAAACCACTCGAACCCTACTTCTCCATGGTAATGTTCCACTTCGATTTTGGGGAGACACTGTGATAAGGTCATGTTACCTTATAATCACATGTCATCATCTGTCCTTAACAATAAAATTCCCCATTCAATCCTTTTTCCCCATTCCCCCTTCACCCAATTCCTCCCCGAGTCTTCGGTTTCTACATGTTTTATACACAATCTCTCTCCTGGTCTTGATAAACTATCAGCTCAATCACTAAAGTGTATTTTTATTGGTTATCATCGATCCCAAAAAGGTTATCGTTGCTATTCACATACCCTATAACAATATCTCATGCCAGTCGATGTCACATTCTTCGAGTCTGTTCCATATTTCGAGTCCAGCCAAGTAACTCCAGAACCCCTTCAGGAGAGTACTCCTACACCTCTTCTGGAAGTCTCATATGTCAATATCCCCCATCATTCTAGGGAATCTGGCCCATTAGATAACCCTACGCCCCCAGACTTCTCGTCCACTTCAAACATATCAACATTGTCAACCAACGTCTGTCGTACCTGTCCCTGAGGTCGTAAATGTCCCTGAGGTCGTACATGTTTCTGAAGTCATTGCAGACTCTCCTCAGACGCTCTCGCCATCACCGGATCCAATCCTACCACCCGAGTCCAATCTTCTGATTACTCTTCAAAAAGGTATACGTCAAACATGAAATCCTTTTCCAAATTATATGATTTATGCTATCATCGTCTTTCCCCTTTGTAGTATACTTGTTTGTCTTCTTTGTCTTCTATTTCTATTCCTCACTCCAGGTGAAGCATTATCTCACCCTAAGTGGAGGCAAGCAACGATTGATGAAATGAGTGCTTTTCAAAGCAGTGATACATGGGAACTAGTTCCTTTACCCCCTGAGAAATCATTAGTAGTTTGTCGTTGGCTTTATACAATGAAAGTTAGTCTAGAAGGTAAGATTGATCGATTTAAAGCTCGCTTGGTAGGCAAAGGATACATTCAGATTTTTGGGTTGGATTATAGTGATACATTCTCGCCTGTAGCCAAGATGGCATCTGTTAGACTTATTCTAGCCATTGCAACCATTCGACATTGGCCTCTTCATCAACTTGACATCAAAAATGCTTTTTTACATGGTGATCT